TCTGTGCATTGACTTTTCCTTTATTTACAACTAAAATGATGACTGCATTATTTGCCACGGCAGAGCCGCAACCATTTCCTGCCATGGCAGCTAGCTTTGCCCATCACCAGTCCCCGAAGCCATCCAGCCCCAGGTACCCTCTGCCGAACCCACAACGCTATGGTTGCAGAATTGTTCCTCCGAAGCTTGAAACCCAGTTGCTTTGATGTGCTCTCTGTCTAGGCCGATGTGGTTTAAAGTCCTTGTTTATGAATTCCATTGCCAGTGCCTTGTTTTAAGAGACATCTTTGCTGCAGACCAAGTATGTGTAATTAGTGACTTGGCCCAGCTGAGCTCGCTTCTCGACATCCTGCAGCGCTCGGAGACCCGCTAAAGAGAAGCTGGCACCAATCAGACGGACCTTTTTATTTTATGGGGCCAGAGAGCAGTTTCATTGTTCATAAGAACAGCAGCTCCCTGCAGTGTGAAAGTGTAGTTCAATGAAGCATTTTACCTAGGGTTACCAGATAGCAAGTGTGAAAAATCGGGATGGGGGTGGGGGGTACTATATAAGGAAAAAGATCCAAAAATCAGGACTGTCTCTATAAAATCAGGACATCTGGTCACCCTAATTTTACCTCCCATCCCAGGCCTCCCTTAGAACAGACAGTTGGCCAGTGTGGGTCTCTCGGGGGCTCAAGGAAAGCTTAGAAGTGAATGTAAGGAACCTATTCTAGGCTTGCAGCAAATCTCAGCCGATTCTTCTTTCTGAATGTGCTGCTTATGCACCAAATGCCTGACTCTCTCCTGTGAAGGATCTGAGTTGGGCATTCAAATACAGACGGGACCCTCCCGAGGGGCCTGGGTATTTGCTTGCCCACTCTGGGAGTGCTCCCGGGTCACCCCTACTTTTTTATTTAGGAAATTCAACCTATTGCCCAGGTCCTGAACGTGCAAGGGGACAAGCACTCTGGTCCAGATCCAGCAAAGCATTGAATGACACGCTTAACTGTCAGCATGTGAGTAGTTAAAGTTAAGCACGTGCTTAAATGCTTTGGCCTTGATCCGACAACGTGCTTCTCGCCTTGCAGAATCAAGCACGTCTGGCGTACCTAGAAAAGTTGTACGATCCCGTCTTATCTGTGGGGTGTTGGCAAAGCAGGCGAACCCAGAGCAACGCATCAGAAGAGAAACCGGGAACCAGGGCCCGCTCTACTGCTAGCTCAGCACTTGGAGTGAGGGACAATCCTGGGCAAAGGACAAAGATATCTCCTGCTGTCCCAGCCTGGACTGGCATTGCTGCCTAGGTTATGTGTCAGAGCTGGGCACACCTTTTTTTCAGCTGAAACGCTTTCTCTCTGAAAAATGCCGATTTGGGTAAACTGAAGCCTTTCCGGAGTTCAGGTTGATTTCGGGGAAACAAAAAATATTTTTTTTAAATGTCCAAATAAACCATTTCAACAACATTGAAACAAACCATTTTGATTTTTCAGGCTGGATTCACAAGGGGCATTAGGTGGCATTCACAAAACTGGAGGGGGGGCGGTGATGTCCCCGTTATAGTCAGTAGCCCAGTCACCTAGCGCACTCCCCTGGCATGGGGGAGATGCCAGGTTTGAATCCCCACTCTGGAGCAGGGACTTGAA